TATCCACACCCGCCCACATCCATATCCATACCCACCCGCATCCATATTCACATCCACTCACACCCATCCACACCTATTCACACTCCACGCCAACACCGACACCCACCTGCACTCAGCAACACTTACACCTGGCTACTTCTCATTTGCGATCATAATTCAAATAAAATTTTGAAATATTATGGAGATTTAAAATTTTAGTAAATATTAAAATAAAAATCTCAAACTGTTAGTTTTTCCAAAACGATAAAATTTAAATTAATTTAATTTTTAAGTTATCATTGATCAATGCTTCTATTTGAAAATTTTCACTTTTAACTTAAAATCGCATACAGTTTAGCAAGATACAGAGTTCCCTCGTGTTTTCAATGCAGCTTCTATCTATAGATTTAGGAAGATATAGAGCTCGCTGCTGTGTTCTATGTAATTGCTATTTCTCAATTTAGGAAGATGTAGAGGTCGCTACTGTTTTCAATGCAATTTCTATCTATAAATTTAGGAAGATGTAGAGTTCGCTGCCGTTTTCTATACAATTGCTATATTTTAGTTGAGAAAGATGTAGAGCTCGCTAGTGCTTTCAATACAATTTTATATTTAGTTTAGGAAGATGTAGAGTTCGCTAGAATGTTTAGCATAAATCTAACTGAATGTAAAAAAGATTTAGAAGTGTCGCGTGTAGTCTGTTTGAAGCTAAGTGAATGTGATCTGAAAGTGTCACTTCTTATTTTGAAAGATTAGTGTAAGAACACTGCAACAAAACAAAATTAGTTTCACATTTCTAGCGATTTGATTCAGAAAGCTTTATCAGTTCTGGATTAATTATGAATTTTGCTGCTTCACCAAAAAGAAGATTTTATAAGTGGGATGTAGTGTCGAATAAATTGTTTTAAAAAATGCCAATGAAATCTTGTCGCATTTTAAACTGGGTCACTGAAATAGGTTGATCATGTGACTTTTTTTTTATAAAACATTTTTTGGAACGTAGCAAGATCATAGATTTAGTTTATGCACTATGAATCTTAATCTTAATCATGAACGCTTTTAGGAAGGTGATTTACTTAACTTCCATATTGAAAAACAAACTCTAATATAGCTCGAACAAGGGGCGAAAACAAGAAAGTTTTGATGAAGATCGAAGAGAGATTTTGAATTGTTTCTCTAATGTTCCCCAAATATGATTCAATATTCATTCAAAGTGTGACCTTGGTGGACGCTAGTTTGAAGAGAACTCGAATACCAACACCTAAATCTTGTCCCGTTTACATTTTTTCCACAGTTTTCGTTGTTGAATAATTATATTTTTCGGTTCCAATTAATTTCTTTTCAATAGACTGTTGATCTTATGTGATTATAGAAACTAAATAGAGTTTCAACACAAAACAAGCTTATGACATTCATATTGGTAATTCGGTCTCATGAACTCTAAATATGACACTTAGTTTAGAAGAAGAAGAGCACTACGTAGTTTAGCTTACTTTACTAATAAGAGCTGAATACATTGAAACCCTGCAAGCATATATCAAGCGAACTCTACATCTTCCTGAACTGAAATATAGAAATTGCAGAGAAAACAACCGCGAACCCTACATCTTCCTAAACGAAAATATAGAAATTACATAGAAAACAAGAGCGAACTCTACATCTTCCTAAACTAAAATATAGAAATTGCATAGAAAACAAGAGCGAACTCTACATCTTCCTAAACTAAATATAAAATTGTATTGAAAGCACTAGCGAGCTCTACATCTTCCTAAAAACAAATATAGAAATAGCGTAGAAAGCAAGAGCGAACTCTACAAATTTTAATTCTTCAAACAAAATGGCTGTTAAAATTCGTTTCAGTAAAAATTTTAAATAATAAAAGCAAACGATTTTGATTTTCGGAGTTCTTTTCAAGAAATGAGTTTTAACGAATTCAAAATCGAAAATTTAACACTTTCAATCGTTTTGAATCTGAAAAATTCAAATTAATTAAAAAATGAAGTATAATTTAATTTAATAAACTTTGAGTTTTCAGCTTTATATTCGCAAATGGGAGGATACCCTCACACCCACCTGCACTCACCAGTACCTACGCCCACATCCACACCCACACCCTTATTGACAAATTGGAATATCGATGTAGCACCATAAATACGAATAAATCAAACGAGAAAAGTGAGAAGTAAAATTTTTTTTAGATTTCTAAGAAAACTTATACAATTAAAACAACGATATTTACAAAACAACCAATTTGATTTTATCATTTTGATTAATATGACCACGGCTATTTCATCAACCGATGTTTTTCACACAAAATCTGATGAAATGCGTCTTGAAATTTTTTGTCTCGTCTGGCTCGATGCTGGTTCAAGCATCAAAGACGGTCATGATACTGAACAACAATTACGTTCCATTATTAATCATCTTAAGAAATTTCAAGATGTAAAACAATGTCAAAAATATATTGAAGAACGATCACAAAAAGAACGAGTAGTTATGGTTGTTAGTGGCCAATTGGGACGAGAAATCGTTCCTTCTATTCACAATCTTCGACAAGTTATATCGATTTATGTCTATTGTCTCGATAAGAAACGTAATGAACAATGGGCTTGTAAATACGCAAAAGTAAGATTAAACTAAATGATTTCGATTTTATCTTAACGTTTCCGTCATTGGTAGGTAAGGGCTGTTGTGGTTGAGCTTGATGAGCTCATTTCTCGAATTAAAGCTGATCATAAAATTCAGAAAATGGTCGCAGAGCCATTATCAATTAATATTTTTACTACAGGTGTCGGCGCAGGTAACTCAACAACAAGTTTAAATGGTGAATTTGTCTTTTCACAAGTTCTAATTGATTGTCTTATTCGATTACGATACACTGAAGCAGATAAAAACGAACTCATTCGTGTTTGTAAACAACAATATAAAGGTAATAGTGTTGAATTGAATAATATTCGTGAATTTCAAGACAAATATTCATCTGGCAATGTTTTATGGTGGTACTCGCGAGAATCGTTTTTTTACAAGACTCTTAATGCCGCTCTTCGTACCCCAGCAGATATTCATACAATATTTTTGTTTCGTAAATATATTACCGATATTCAATATCAATTAAAAAATCATCAAGCTAAGAATCCTGTTCGAGTTTATCGAAGTCAAATGATATCAACTAATGAACTAGAAACTTTGAAGCAATGCTGTGGTCAATTCATATCTGTGAATTCATTTTTTTCAACCAGTATTGACAAACAACAAGCTCTATCATTTCTCGATTTTCCTGATGATACAGAAAATTTAGAAGCAGTATTATTTCAAATCGATGCCGATCCTAAGATGGCAATTACAAAACCATTTGCTGATATCACTAAATATAGTGAATATAAAGATGAAGCTGAAGTGCTCTTCATGCTTGGCTCTATTTTTCGGTTGGGCAGTGTCAATCGAAGCAAACATGGTCAAATATGGCTTATACAAATGACATTGTGCAATAATGATGAACATGATTTAAAGCAAGTTCTTATGGATATGAAAGAGCAGTTTGTGAGTGAAGAAACAAGTCTTCAAACATTAGGAAAATTGTTATGGGAGATGGGAAGATCTGATCTGGCTGGACAATACTTTTTTCGCATGTTAGAACAACTTCCACCCAACGACTCTCGACGTATTGATTTGTATCAAGATCTTGGCAAACTTGCATCAAATGCTCATCAACTTGACAAGAGTATGGACTGGCGCCAAAGAGCAATCGAATTGAAAAAACAAATTCAATCTACTTCTTCCAGTATTAGTAAATCAAAGATTCCTATTGGTAAGTTCATTGAAAGATAATCTATTATATCAAAATAGAAGTCCTACATCTATATTTTTATATCATGATAGTCATGTAAAGCGAGTTGAAGATCTTCTTACGTTATAGCTAATAGGTATAAACTCAGTATAAAGGATGACCATGCAGTCCTAACTCGATTTGAATAATAAATTTTTTGATAGTAAAATAAGTGACTGTAAATTTGTCTCTATGAGAAAAAGATACAGTAAAGTACACTCTACAAAATGACCATCAATTGACTTCGCTAGCTCGTATAGTAAGAAAGTTAAATAAAATAATAATAGATGGCTTATAAACGAGAATGAATTTGTTACTGTCAATAATACTTATTTATAAATGCTTAGTAGTGCTCGAACAGTAAAAATAGAAAACGTTTATGAATGAAATAAATTCATAAGATATCATTTAGTTTTGTAATTTAATAATGCTATTAATTATAATACCATATAAAGTATTAATTTTCCAAAGATAATTTCGAAAAGTGTGTCGAGATAACTTCTACTCTGCACATGACGAATCATTGTATGCATATTATCTTTCTCTATTTTCTGAACTTCTAATCATCAACTAACTCAAGTTTTTATTGCTGCGCTTCGATCCTTACTTGCTAAAAAAGGTCTACTCATGAAGAAGATAAATTAACTGTTAATGTTAACAGCTGAATAAACAATCTGGATGATAAGACCATCACATTTTTAATTGTTTTTTACGTCTATAATTTCTTCGAAATCAAAGAGACATGAAAATGTCAAACAACTTTTATATTAGCACTACATAGAAGATCGAAGTATCAGCGAGCAATAGGTGCTGGCAATAAGCTAAATCGTTGCTAATTCATTTGGAGTATATCTTGTTTAAAAAAAGCGTTATACTACTCTGAAGCTCTTAATCTGTTGCTAGTGACAGACGAATTAATACTCAACTCTCCAATATTATATTATGTCTCTCAGAAATCATGCATTAGAAAATATATAATACCGAACTGTTCACTGTGAATGTATGTGTGTGTGTGGGAGGGGGGAGGGGGGAGGAATATAGTTTCATTTTAAAGTGTATTGCTTCCCCCAAAGAATCGAAGCTGCGCCACCCATGAGTAGGACTATAAGGGAAAAGCTGTAACGGGGTAAAGCTATAAAGGGATAAGGTTATTTGGCAGTAAGACAATAAGGAATCAGGCTATAAGGGGGAACTCTATAAGGGGTAACGCTATAAGGGATCAGCCCATAAAAAAGTAAGCCTGTGAAGTGGGTAATGCTATAAGGGGGTAAGGTGATACAGAGGTAGGACTACACTCTAAAAAATATAAGTACTCTCGGAAACCGATAAAGGGTTTCCGGGTTTGTCCCTATATGAAACCCTTTATAGGTTTCCGGGAAAGAGCTTTCGAGTTCTCGGAAACCTATCGGAAACCGTTTTGAGTACCACAAAAAGGCATCAACCTCGGAAACCCTACACAGGTTTCCGGTACTTTGCATACTATGAAAGGTTTCCACCCGACCAATTCTAGAAATAATGGTATACCTATATCTCAATCTATATCAATTGAAATATCGAAAACAAGACTTACATTTCTATATAAAAGATACAGAAATGCTGATATATCTATATCTCAATCTATGTCTCAATCTATGTCGACTGAGATACACAAAACAAGACTTAGATGTCTATATCATAGATATAAAAATAAACCTGTTGTTATATCTCAATATCCACTAATTGAGATATTCAAAACAAGACTTAAATTTTCCTATCATAGATATAGAAATAATGACATTCTTATATCTCTCCCTATGTCGACTGAGATATTGAAAACGAAACTTAGATTTCTATATCATAGATATAGAAATAGTGAGGGTGTGGGTGTGGATGTTCTTTTTATCCACACTGACACCCTCACCCACCCACACCCACACCCACACCCACACCCACACCCACACCCACACCCACACCCACACCCCACACCCACACCCACACCCACACCCACACCCACACCCACACCCACACCCCACACCCACACCCGCAACCGATCCAAATGTTGAAGAATATTGGTTTGTTTGTCGACAATGGTTTCATAAAAGTTCAGGTGATAAAGCAACTGTTCGAGAATTATTACCAACTGATGAACAGGGAAATGTATTAAGTGATCGAAATGGTAAGATAAGAAGTTTCTTGTTTTTGTTTTTAATGTAACAAAAAACAAATAAATAAATTTTCTCTTTTTTTTAGAACTAACATATATAGTACATGTCTTTACTGGTGACAAGTATGGAGCTGGTACAGATGCAAATGTTTTTCTAACAATCTATGGCAAATCTGAAGATACAGGTAGAGAATTCAATTGATGATAATATTTAATTGAACGGATTATTATTAAAGGTGAACGTGAATTACGACAATCGAAAAAAAATAGAGAGAAATTTGAAAGGAATCAAGTTTGTTTGGTTTTTTTGGTTTTTGTTTCGACTTTTTTAATAATTATTTTTTTCTTTCATATTTATTGTAGGAGGATATTTTTGAAATCAAAGCTGCATCATTGGGCAAATTGAAACAAATTAAAATTCGACATGATGATTCAAATGTATGATTATTAAGTAACGATTGATCTTCACAAAATTTCTAGAATTTTAATGAAAAAAACAAGAAAATCCTCCTTGTAAAATCTAATGAGTTTTTCGAGAAAGTAAAGTCATGTTAATATGCACAATTTAACTCGGGGAATGTAAAATGTTTCAACTGTCTTTCGAACAGTAAGGCATTGAAACTAATACTTTGAAATCAATTCTTTCTGAAAAAAAACAATCGTTCTATTAGATAGTTTGACTCGAGTTGATAATCAATTCATTGTTAGTATTGAGTTACTGCAATACAAAACGAAAACTAAATGCTTTCTAGTAATGTAATAATGGAACTTATACTCAAATAGTAGATCATTTTTTTATCTCTTCCACTGCAAGGAAGGTAATACGCTAAGCAGTTACAATGACCAAACGTTCGTGTGTTTGTTTCATAGAACGAGAGAAAGTATACATATAGAGGAAATCAGGATGAATGTTTAGAAAAATACTCTCAACAGATTTTGCCGAAAAAACTTAACATGGATGTCCCGAGCGAGGGGTCATCTCCCAATCTTAAGAAACTCTCATTTTCCTCCAGCGAAGTTCCAGTCTTTCATTCGTTTTTTTGCCCATCAGTTCTCAAAAAACTGCTGGATTCCCTGCAAAACCCGATGAATTTCAGCGAAAACCTTCTTCTGAGTCATTGAGCGCTCTCTCCCCAATCCTAACGATCTTGGCACACCTCTGGCACTTAAACTCAAGTTTTAATAGATTCGCAGAAGAAATTTTGATGTGCTCGTTACAGTAGAATTGTCTAGAACGATGAGGCTAATAACTTTAAACGGTTTCAAAAACTGTTTTTAAATATTCACGTATGATTTTGTGATATAGATCGATGTTGAAAGGTTTGCAACGCAATAGGGCATTATTTCTGCTACTATTTATATATTAGAATTAACTATATATAAAAATTTCACCATTATGAAAATATTGATAGGTTGATGAAATTAAAAAATTCACCATCGATCATTTTATTTCTACCGTATTATCTTCCTTTCCATAGAAGGTTTAGCAACGTTTGCAGTGCGTTATTTATTACTTTTAAGAGTACTGGTATCGTTACTCGTTTTTATGGACTTCCTTTGACTGAACTCCGTACTTTGAGTCAATAAATTTCTAGTCAGCATCAAAATTTCAGCTCTCAATATTCATTGACTGCTTTCTCACTATAGAATGACTAGTCTCGAAGCATACTGAATGTGTTGATTATAGTCAAGAAAAGTTACTCATCGATTCACAGTCTAAATTCTGCCTACACTAGAATTCTTGCATCTGAAAATATTATGTTCACTTCCGAACTGCTTGTCACTGGTTTTCATAAACTCTTTATAGTCAGCGCGATCTCAGATCATATTCTAGGTGCATAAGCAACAAAATAAGTAAGTCTCATGGAACTTTAAAAAGTAACTTAGGTCGTTTAACTTTTTCGAGACAATTAAAAATAAAGCGGCATCCTATTTTCAAGTATTTTAAATAATAATTTCCAATTAGAAAACATCAAACTTATCTTTTCTCGTAAAGAAATCATGTATTTATTAAGGAAAACCAGCTAAACAAGGTATAAATTTTGTTATATATCACTTGTTGAATGGTACTGCATGACGAGTTTCAAAACAGTTTTACTTTATTTCTTTGTATTAGTGTGCATAGTACGAGATGGACTAAATAAGTGATGTTAGTACTAGAAATCTCAAGAGTTATATGAATTTCATTCAATCTCTTTTGTGGAGTTGTATTAAAAAAATTTTCTCAAAAGAAGTAGTTAGTTAATTGATGCATGAAAGAGGTCGATTTTTCATCAGTTGAATTCTGTGATTCGATCAGTTAGTAGAATCCAGTTGAAGGAAAAAATTCAGCCGATTCAAAGTCTGAAGCGATCCTATCTAAAGCAGGTATTCTAACATATTTGTTAGTCTATTATAAGTTTTGAGTCGTTCAGCTCGATTCGATTCGAAACTTTCAAGAAAACCTACTTCAGATCGATACAGAGAAAAACACGGACTAATTCTATCTCTGAAAAAGATTATCTTTTTTCTGTTCTAGGGTCATAATATCTCACTGTTTAGTCTCATATCATACTTACATGCAGGAGGTTGTAGTAGATAAGAGTACTGAACTACTCAAATAAAAAAATACGGATTGTATACGGGCGTTGACAGGAAAAATAACGATAGGCAAACGAGCTGTATACCATCACAATACTTTGTGCAGAAATACGCTCGTGTTGTAGTGAGGTTATGACTCATATACGATGTCGTATTACTGTGTCCAGGATTACGAGAAAATACGTTTAGTTGACTATCGTAAAGTGGCCATCTTTCCATTGTTTATTGACGAAAAACGGATCGTAAACGATATCCGTTTTGATTGACTTGGGTAAGCAAGATCAAATATTCAAGATAAGTTTTAATATTTCGACTTCTTAAAATAAAGTTTCCTTGAGAAATTGAAAAGATAAGATTATTTTTTGTTTCTTTTCAGAAATTTTGAGAAGAAACTACAAATAGATAATAAATTATTCTACTAATTATTTGAGATCATGAAAACAGTCTTTGTTTAATTCTGTTTAAACAAAAGGCTTTTCAGCGCAGCTCCGTTAGAATTAAAATTTGAAACTTACATCCGTTCTTTATCTTCATTATATTAATGTAAAATACCTAAAGTGAAAAATTTCTAATAGAAAATAATTATCTTCCAATGATAATTGATCACCAGAGAAATGATCGGTCTTATTTATTTCTGCATTTCGAATAGAATTTTGTTTTACTGATGTACTATTCTTTATTTGTCTAATTGCCTTTCGCTGGATATTTATTTTTTTCTTTCTATCATTGATTTTACCGTCAAATAACCGTGTTGTACATATTCACTATATCTGCAATAGATCTTAACGTGTTATTATGCATCACGATAAACTTAGAAATACTGATATTGATTATTTCCGAAAGTTAGAACTTGATCAGTTTATGCTTTTTTGTATTGCTTAAATGATGACTGTGACAAATCCATGCATCATTAATCACCATCTTTCATATCTAACATATTATTTTTTATCTGCGCAAAAATCGAAAATTTCTCTATTCAGCACATTCAAAAATGTGTTTCAGTCATTTAAATTTCAAGGAAGGCTGTAGAATTTGCTAGAATGGTCGAAGTCTTTTTGTTAATGCCATTCAGCACCATTTTATGACATTGAAGTCTAATGTCTGTTGTCGTCGGCTCCTAAAGAAGGATTCGTATCCAATAATTTTTGACTTCGACTACTAAGGTCTGTGAGGAAGAGGAGTAGAATGAAGCCGGAAAGCTTCGACGTAAAACTTACATTCGCTAATTTTCTTCGAAAAATATATGTGAGTTCCACAAAACAAGCAATGTCAGCGGTTCTGTATTTCGATTTGTTTCTCTAGATTGGTTCTGCATGGTATCTTGATCGAGTGGAAATTGATGATCCAGAAACAAACCAAACGTAAGTATTAAAATTGAAAACAAAAATAAAAATCATTCAATAGTATTTTTTTTCTTCGTTATTTAAAGATATCATTTTATCTGTCAAAAATGGCTGGCTACCGATAAAGATGATGGATTGATATCTCGTGAAATTCCTGCACTTGAAAACAAAGCACTACGTTTAGCAGCGGCACGTGAAAGTTCTGCTGGATCATCAGTTGATTACGGTTTAGAAATGAACAGTAAGTTTTCTCAAAAATGATTAAATAAATCCTTGAAATATATATAATTCATATCCTCACTCTTTCACTTCGGATATCTTCTTTTATCCAGCACATATTCATCGTGGTTCGTACGATTGACATGTATCATCAAAGGACGGGGGCGCATAAGATCACAAATCGGCCCATTAGGAATTTT